AAAATTTGGCTAATAATTTTTCTTTCCTTAATAAACTAAGTGTTAGCCGTAGATGTTGCTCATGGTTTGCTTTACTTTTAGAGTATATCAAGATGTCATCGATAAATATAATTACAAACTTGTCTAGGTATGGCTTGCACACCTGGTTCATCAGATCCATGAACGCAGTTGGTGCATTGGTCAAACCAAATGGCATTACTAGGAACTCGTAATGACCATACCTAGTTCGAAAGGTTGTCTTTGACACATCTGCTTCCCTGACTTTCAGTTGATGATACCCCGACTGCAAATCGATCTTCGAGAAGTAACTTGCCCCCTGAAGTTGATCGAATAGATCATCAATTCTCGGTAACGGATACCGATTCTTTATAGTCACCTTTTTTAACTCCCTATAGTCAATTCACATTCGCATGGTCCCATCCTTCTTCTTACAGAACAGTGTACTGGTGCACCCTACAGTGAGGTACCGGGCTGAATAAAACCCCTGTCAAGCAAATCTTGCAACTGAGCCATCAACTCCTTCATTTCGGTTAGTGCTAACCAATATGGCGCACGAGCTATCGGTGCTACTCCTTTGGGGTAAGATCGATTCAAAACTCCACTTGCCTATCCGGTGGCAAGCTAGTTAGGTCATCAGGGAACACATCTTGGAACTTGTGTACAACTAGTATATGTGTTATTTCAGGCTTGTCCTGCTTGGCATCGAGAACATATGCCCAATAACTTTGACACCATTTCTTTAGATAACAAGTTGCCTTAGTCACTAATATCAAAATAGACTCTTTAACTTGCCGATCACCATAAATCTTTACCATTCCTTTTTCTGGCACCCAAACTTGAACAATCCTATTTTCACAATCTATGATAGCTTGGTTTGCTGACAACTAATCCATCCCTATAACGATATCAAAATCACCTAGGGCTATAGCTAATAATTTTAATGGTACCACACCACCATCTATTTCGATAGAGCAATCATCATATTCCTCTCTTACTACTACCCAATGATCGTCAGCAGTTTCAATTTCTAAGGCATGTTCTAGAGTCTTTGCATTTCTACCCATGTTTTTGCAAAAAGTAGTAGACACAAAAGATCTATTTGCACCAGAATCAAATAAGACCCTAGCATGAATTGAGCTTAGTAGGAAAGTACCTGTCACCACATCTGGGGTCTCCTAAGCCTCCAGAGCCGTCATGCGAAAAGCTCTAGCTTTTGGTCTACCAGTGTCAGCCTTTTTATCCGCCGACCGATTGTCTGTTATCCTGCCTTGATTGTTGTTACCTTTACCCTAGGAACATTCCGATTTAATGTGGTTAGGGGACCCACACCCGTAACATACCCTTACTGTCTTACATTCTGTGGCTATATGCCCTGGCTTCCCACACTTGTAGCAAACTCTCTGATTCATGTTACACTCCCCCTTATGATAATAGTTGCATTTCGGACGTTGCTTTACTCCAGAGCTTTGATCAACCTTACGTTCTTGTCCTGAAGTCTTGCCTTTCTTCGAATAATTATTCGTACCATCCCATTTTCTTTTCCCTAAAGCCCTGTCTTCACCTTGACGATTCTTCTCACGTTCGCGGCCTTCTGCAGCATCTACAACCGACTGGAAAGTACCTGGTTTTTGAATTTGCACAAATTCACGGATAGTTGTTCCCAATCCCCATATATAGCGTTCCACCCTTCTTTCTTCTGTAGAAACATAAAATTCGGCAAACCTGGCTTTCTCCGTGAACTTAGTGGTGTACTCCCTCACAGTCATGTTCCCCTGTTCCAACCTCAAGAATTCTTCCTTTAACAGCTTAACCGTTGTTCGTGGGCAAAACTTTTCTTTAAATATTTTTAGAAACTCATCCGATGACATCCTCTTGGCCGCCTCACGCCCCCTAACTTCCTTCACCATGCCCACCAACGTATTGCCTCCCCCTTTAACATTGTCGCAACATAAATCACCTTGTCCTCATCCGTACACTTGCTAGTATCAAATGTTCCGTCAATCTCTATAATCCATGTTGATAACAAAACAGGATCAATTTCTCCGTTAAATATGGGTGGCTTACAATTCATGAACGTCTTGTAACTACAACCTCGTCGATCATGGTTGTCATGATGCCTTGAGGGTTGTGCAATACTTGGTTCCTGATTCATAATTGGTGTACTGTACTCATAGTCTTCTTCATCTCCACCCAAGTTACCATCATACTCACCCATTATAGCTTCTCGTGCCTGCGCAACTACATCGGGCAATGTGGCTCGAATTGCCCGAGCAATCTCATCAGCCAACGCTTCTATGGTGATTGTGTTTGCCGCACGACCCCTTCTGCGACCTCGACCTCGACCGCGGTGGGATCCGGAGCTGCCATCGGCCGATTGTACAGGTATCGATGCTGTAACGGCTCCTCGGTCTCTTCCTCTACCCCTACCTATTCCTTGGCCCCGTCCACGAATAGCGTTTGGGATCAGTGGGGTTTCTTGTACATCTCCTGGTGCTCTAACATAAGCTCTAATTGGGATGTGTTCTTCCTCTGGGGTGACCCTAGTGAACCTCCTAGATCCTCGTGAAGACATATTAACTACATATTTATGTTTATAACACAATAAGTATAACAAACATAAATTTTATTCCAAATTATCAAAACTTCAAAAAGAGACATATGTCTTGTTCACATCAAGTCACTTAAGCCAACAACCAAGAGAAATAAAAAAACAAATTATTGCACTCCTACTTTCTACTTTTTAAAAACGATGTCATCATATTTCAATATTCGCTTTCCCTCCTTCAAGTACTTCCTTATCTTTTTAGCTTTTCGATCTCCGGGACCACTTTGAATGACCATCACCTCGGCCTGAGGTAGGTCTCTTCTAACCACCTTATCTAGGAATCCGTAAGTCGCGACCTTGGCTTGTTTTCCCCGAGCCACAAACCCTTTCCATAACTTAGTGATAGTGGGTTTCCTTAGTTCTAACACCTCCTATTCCAACCTTCATATCTTGCGCTTACTTTTCTTAGCAGCCTCAACCCGTATTTGGTTCTCCTGAATGATCCTTAAGCTATGCTCATCTATCTCTTCAATCATTCTTTTCAAACTATGAATCTCGAGTTGTGCTTGTGGCATTTCATCTTTATAAAGTCGCTCCTAATAGGTACCAGGACTAGTTGGCGTGTACTCAACATAGGGCATATGGAACGTTTCATATCTTTGTTCCACATGGTACTCCACGTGATTTCCCCTGGGTTCCTCCTCAGGGACTTCTTCGGGTTCCTCATCAGGGTCTTCCTCGGGCTCCTCCTCAGGATCTTCGTCGGGCTCCACCTCAGATTCCACATCATCTTCTTCTTCATCCCACTTAGAGAGGTTGGGTGGGTTCATTGGTTCCAGACTGCCTTCTGAATCAGATAGCTCTAACTCGGCCTTCAACTTCTCGTGAAGAAGTAACCCACTAGTACCCTCAACCAACACTCCACCATCTACAATTGCCTTTCCACGATCCATAGTACCTACAAACGAGGCGCATTCCAAATTAGGCGATGTACCGCTCCTCCCGTTTAAGCTTAGGTGTTTAAATAGTGACTAATCTGCTTAAATCTGGATCTGATACCAACTTGTAACGCCCCAAATTTCAAATACCAATGTGAACTTAACATAGTCTCAAAACTTCTAAAATTCGTAAATTTTAATACTAATTTCATTATTAATAATAATAGCGGAAACAAATAGAAATTTAAGTAAACACTTGGTGCGTTACGTCCTCCTTAAGGCTTGTTATCATCTTCAAGTCTGAGCTTTATCCTTCCCATTTCCGCTGCCACTCGCTACATTATTTCTTGGGTTGCGTGCATTTAAAGATTCTAATGGGTAAGCCTAGGGCCTAGTGAGTTCGTGGTTTTCATGTATATTGACGTCAATAAAATAAAAACAAATGCAACAATTTATCAAATATAATTTGTTTCATTTCTTAACACCCTTGGTGAGACATTAGGGAACTACTGACATTTTTCAGGGAACCAGTCCCTCCGCCGGGCACAACAAATACGCTTACGGCTAATTAATCAGAGCGTAAGCTCTCCGCCGCGTACTGACACCTGTACGACGACTACTAATAAGACCGTGTAGTTAATACACTTGTTCCCTAAATATATGTCACCCACCGTTTTCATCCTTTTACATGAAATAGTTCATAAAATTCACACAAATATTCATAGCAATAACAATGGTAACATTTAATTGCAAATAAATTAAAATCAACTTTTCATGCAAGCAACCATAAAATTCACACGAAACTCACCTTGTTGGCGCTAGGTCTTAACCGAAGCTTGTCACGCTACACGCTACATGCACCCTACATTCCACCAATAAATTTTCCTAAGGCAACAATCCTAGAAAATCATCATATGCGCTTATTTTGGCTCGTCTGCCCACGTACCTAGTTCGACCTACCAATAGTTATTTTCTAACATATTTACAACATTTGTAAAATCTTACTTAAATATATGCCAACATTGCATAAATCGGATATCTCAACATATGATGTCATATTTAATTTGCAAAATTAATAGAGTTTCACTCTTAGAAGAACATATAAAATAAATAAATAAATAAGTGAATAAAAATAAACTTTCATAGCGTTCAAAAATACAACCGTGTGAAGTTATCGTATAAGATCTCATATTATAAAAAAAATACTTCAAGGACTAAAATTAAAGTTTGATGAACCAAACTTTTCTTTCAACAAATGCGTGTGTTTGGTTTATATAGCGGAATGATTCAGCAACCCTTTCAAAAGGTAAGGATCATTTATCTAAATACCATTTCAAGCAAGTAAAATGACTCCATTCATTTTGCATTAAAAAAAAGATGCAATAAAAGAACACGCACCCGAGGATTGATCACACAACCTTGGGTACCGTCACCTTCAGTGGTCACTAAGCTTCCACTATATTCTGGTTTTAAAACCGTAAATAATTTATTTTAAAACACTAGCAAACAATTCTACCCACCAAAAAATATACCCGAATACTCATCTTCTTTACCCGAAAACAAATTCATCTTCTGCCATTTTTTAATATACTATAGCTTCAAAAAAAAAGCATTATATATATATATATATATATATATATATATATATATATATATATATATATATATATATATATTGAAAATTACCACTAAGCATCTCCACATTTTTGACATATTCCCGTAAAAATTTAACAATAACTTTATAACGATACGAGTTGCGGGTTTTATTTTCAAAAATTCTATTTTTAGATTTTTTTTTTTTTTTTTTTTTGTCAAATTGCTCCTGTTGTGGGTCGAATCGAGACAATAGGTTGAACCAAAATACATCTAGCACGCATATAATTCCATCCAAACAACAATATCAAACTTAAATCGAGTAATAATACCTTAATTCCAAGAAACTCCGAAAATACTTCAAGAACTTTGAATTCCTATTTCTCTTTCGAATCTTAGTCGTTTCTTGCAATTCCATTGGGGTTTCCACTAGAAATTCCGAGCTCTATATATTGCCTAAGGTTTCATCAGTTACTATCCCCTCAATTGCTCGAATTTAAGGGCTAATCATGGATGACGGTTTCCAGACATTATACCTCATAATTCCCTTCTAATTTACCCATTAATTTTGAATTTTGAACTAATCATCTTTTATTAACATAACCTGATTATATATATTGCATATATTTTTTTGACACAAGTTAGTACACAATATATGAAAAAAGAGTTCCTCACTGATCTTGAATTCTTACGTTTTAGATTTTTGATGCGAGATTTTCCGTGACATGTGCAACAATGTTTTTTCCCGATGATGATGGTACCTCTCATCTCGTCTTATCCGTTCTAGACTTTTTTTAGAACGACAAACACATATACCTACTAAATATACTTTTGATTCTAGACTTTATCCATTCCAAATGGTTATTTCAATGTACCTCTGATGTAGATTCTTCAAAATTTTTGTTGAGGTCAAGTCTTATACCGACGTTTGATTCTAATGTTCTTGACCATTTCGATCCATTTGATTGTGAAGCCAAATCCAGTTGAAGGAGCCATTTTGGTCCGTTACGACATATTTGTCATGCTTGTTGATGATAAAATGTTCGACCTTGTATTTTTTTTTAATTTTTTTTTTTTTTTTTTGTAAGATTCAAGCTTCGTACTTAAAAAGTCGGAATTGTATTCACCACCAGTATTTATATTTTTAAGATTATTAAATGTGTCTTGAAGCTTGTGCAAGTTTGCCTTAACTCACTTGATTTATCAGTTAAACCTTCTGGTAGATATCTTTTCCCATTGTATCGGTGGAAGTGCGCTAAAATTCTCTCCCAAAAAGCTGTCGAAAATTGGTTGTTGCCTTTTTGAAAATCGTCGGATATCGCTATCCAATCTTACACCAAATCCACCCTCATTTTCAACCCACTTCAATTTTCTGTTGCCTAGGACCATCGTTTTAGTTTTCTTTTTCGCTTCTATTTTATATGCTTGAGTTTCGGAAATAATTTCTACGTCATCGTCATCGTAAATTTAAGTATGAGAAAGTTGTGGATGAGAAAATTGTGGTGGAGTATGTTGGGATTGTCGAGAGTGAAAAAGGTTTTTAGGGTGTTGAAATTGGTTGGGATTGAGTTGTGGGTAATTGTTAGGGTTTTGTTGGATTAGGTTTGGGTTTTGTTGAAAAGGATAAGAGTTATGTTGAAAAGAGGTTGAAAATGCATTATTGAAAATTGATTGTTGTTGAATTGGTGTTTCTTTTAAAAAAACTCATAAATCTTTTATTTGAATCATAATTAGGATTATTTGGTATCTTTGGGTGTTTGAGTATGGATAGAGAAACAGAAAGAATTGTATAGAATATAATAGCGTTTGAAAATTGTAAAATATAGGCCGGTATATGTAGGATTTTAAGAATAAAATTAATTTTTTTACTTAATCCGTTTGAGCATTTTTTCCAAAGATTTTTGTCAATCAAAAGGGGTAACCGGAACCATGGATCTTCACAATGATGCGAAGAATGCCACATATAGGGTGGTGTTTACTCCATCACGCCGATGACGTACACTCCGTAGAAAATGCAATATTTGGAATAATTCCCAACTTTATAAGATGTTTTGACCGATAACAAGTTTAGAAATATGACATAACAATGATAAGATAATTGAATCTTGTATAATGAAAGTTAATAACATTATTAAATCATTATAATAAAAGATAGACAATCTTTAAAAGAACAAATATCTATCGGTTAAGACAGAAAATACAAATATTAAAATTTTTTATAGTGGTTTAATATCTTCGTGAACTATCTTACAATAAGTAATAAACAATGTTGACCTTTTATGTGTATGATACTTTTGTCAAATATTCCTTAAAAGGATTTTTTTAGGTTAATTTAGAAAAATATAACATAAATCATTTCCTTATGCGTTTTTTGGGTCTACATTAAAAATAATTATTTCCCATTACATATTAGATTATAATGATTTAATGGTATATTTGATGAATTAATTGAAAAGTTAGATGATACCTAAAAGTAAGTTTTCATTTGTTGAAAAAAAAAGTTTGATAAAATAATTGATAATTTAGCTTAACTATCTTGTTAACAAAAAAGAATCATTGAAATATATAAAATAAGATAAAGGATATAAAGGATATCTTGAGTTTTTTTTTTTTTTTTTTTAAATATAATATTATGAGAATTTTAAAAAAGTTCAATAAGTTCGTTGGACTCTTAGTCCGAGTAGCATTTTAAAATGTCAGTAAACAACTTTTTGATTTGTCAAATATAAAAGTAAATGAGTATTTTGCAAAATTAAGTTGTGTTTGATAAAACTAATTAATAGTAGGAAGTTGAAAGATATACTCTTTCTTCTTGCAAAAGTATTTGATGACTTTTAAAAAATTAGAGAAAAATCAAAAGCTATAAATAAATTTAAAAAAAAAAAAAGAAAAACTATTTAAAGTAATTTTTGTATTATGAGTTTTTTGTTTTAAATAAAATTTTAAAGCTTTTTGTATCAACTACAACTTTTTTTCCAACTTTTTTTTTAATCAAGTTAGAAGCTAAAAATTCAAAAGTTCATTATCAAACACATCTTAACTTTTTAACATTTAATTTTATTGTTATGATATAAAATTCATTACCGAAACATAAGTAAAAGTATAATATGTCTCTCAATTACACATTCAAAATATAAATTCAAATATCATTAGTTCCAACCTTAATATATTTTGTTTCATCTATAAGTTACAACTTCTATTGGCACCAATAATCTTTGAAGCGAAATTTAGGTATAACTACAAGTGCTAATCACTTTAATGATTGATGGCATGAAAAATGGCTAACACATTGTCACACAATGAGGATAACGACTCATTAGTTTATTATGGATGTAGTGGCTTTACCTATCCAAAAATATCCATCATCAAAATAAAGGTTGCCACGTGTTACAATATCAATCCTTGGATCCTTGAATGATAGT